AACTGTAGAAGGAAGCTGACGGGGGAATGAAGTAGATTAGTGGAGATTTTACAGTCTGCGAGCTCTGTTTCATTTTTTAATGAGGGCTTTTTTTTTTCTCCTCCATGAGGCACACTTGCTCAACACTTCCTCTTTCTTAAATCTGAGTTGATTTATCCCACTTGACATCCAGCAATAGACGTGTGAGGATTCCGGGGGGGGGGATTTTTTTTCTTTCTACCTAAAAGCAGGATGGATATAGCATGGATGGCTGAGAGTGGATAGAGGCTGCTATACTTCTGCTGTTGTTATTGTTGGTGGTGTTTTCCTCAAAAACCTGCAGCCTCCTGGGCCTGGATGGTACAACAAAACGATGGTGTTGGTGATGATGCTCGTGATGACAAAAGAGTGCTTGCCTCTGCTCTGCATCCACATACTGTTCCCTCACAAGCATCATCAACAACCACGACCACCACGACCACCACCACCACCCCCATCACCACCACCTCCTCTTCCTAAGCAGTGTGGCTTTTCAGACAATGAGGAGAAAGAAAGGGAGATCTGTGTTACCTTCTGTGAGCTCCACTTGCCTTCGTCGAAGATATCCCCGAGAATAAACACTATTTCAGGCCTGAGCAGCCACAACGCGGTTTGGAAAGCCCTCTCCATCTGCCATTCCCTTTGGAGACAACAAGTAAGCCTTAGCCCATAGGTTGTTTTTGTTTACAAATCACTGAACACAGAGGGACAATGGAAGAGAGCTAAACAAGGGAGCAGGAATGACATTACCTCCTCAGCTTGTCAAACCAATGTCCCCCCACGGCTCCCAGGAGGTGGGTGTCTGACAGCACCATGGCGCGGACCGATGAGTCCGCTGACCGGCCGTCGATGCCCTCTCCGCCGGCCCGCGCATGGCTGCTCTCCGGCCAGCCGCACTTGAGGATGGTGGGGAAGTAGATGAGATACTCGCAGAAGAAAAAAGAGCCGCCGACCACCGCAATCAACAGCACCGCCACCATCCATCTGACGCTAAACCTCGGCATTTCTTTGTTATTCGGCGGCTGGGATGCCCTGAACTAGCGCACTGGCGGTGATGGAGCGGTCCATGAGGCATCTTCTTTCCCTCCTGCAGACCCGCGACTCTTCAGGTCTCCAGCCGTGTGATGCTCATGGCAAGTTCCTCTGAGGCTGCGTCGGGAAGGAAAAAAAAAAACACTAAAAAATACTCCCTGACGTCCCAGGTGATTTAAAATAGCAGATGAAAAGTTTTTTTTTTAAATCGTCCCCTGCAATAGAGACAGCCGACAAAGGCAGCAGCCTGCCTCTGTTTCACAACCACTGCTCCGCTCCTCTCAGCTCACCGACAAGCTGGACATGTTTCAGGCGCACATGCTTACAAAATAAAACCACAGCTTACAATGAGAAGCACATCCATTGGCTGCCTTTTTTTGAAGTGCCTAATAAATAAATGAATAATAGGACTACTTGAGTAAGCTCTATTCAATTTGAGTTTCATCGACACAAGAAATTGATGTGTAACTACAGCAAAAGCTACTTTTTAGGGATGAGGGTGCTGTAATTAAAAGAGCACTATCCTACATTAAATCATGGAACATTTGAATAACCTATAGGCCTACACTTGTTAAGTTTACATGAGATTTAATATTGTAGCCTAGATAAATAGCTTTAGATCACTCACAAAGATGGAACTCAACACATGTATTTTTTTTCATTTGTAATGAGTTTCTGTGTGGATTTAACATCACTTTATTTAGCTTAGCTTTTCTTTTTATTTACACATTTCCATTTTTTTTTTGACAGTGGCACAATAGTTCACTCAGCGAATATCTGTATCTCATCTTAACACTGCATTCTTATGTGAGAGATATTATTTTAGTATTCATTTTGTTCTGAAGTTTTTGCAGTAGGTAGCCTAATTGAGGCTTGTAAAAATAAAAAAATAGTATAATATTGTTATACTTGAAAAAGGAAGTAGGCTAATAGGGCTACTTGTAATGAATTAAATTACATTTTATTTATTGATTTTATTTATTTATGTTCATCCTTTTTGTAATAATTCGCTTGATACCATTATATTTTCTCAAACCTGTCAAATGTAACTTTATTTAAAAGCTTAATCTGCTAACTTCCGGTAGATTTCATGCCAACACGTGCTGGCTTGACCGCTTGTTTTTGTCTGCGCTCGTGCGTGTGTGCGCGTGGGCGAGGAGAAGTGGAGGGGAAGGCTGACAGGAGAAAGAAAAACCTATTTTTAACCGGTTAAACTAAATATATTTAAAACTCCAGTTGCCTTGATATAACTAATGACTGATCCTTGTCTGATCAGTGAAAACCTGGCATCTGTCCACACAAACAGACAAATACCAAGGGATGGAAAAGAGCCAAGGATTATAGGACAAATGAGATTAAGTGATTGAGAGCACAAATCTAATCACCTGAAGACGTCTTTTGTGTTTGTACTCTGTGTGTGCTGTCTGTGTGAGCTCTGAAACAAGAAGCAGAGAGGAATTTAATTTACAGTCTAACAAACTGTTCTACCAACCTCAGAGTGCTTTCAGTTACCTGCTAAACCAGTTGGTTTGCAAATCTGCTTACACATGCATGTTTTGATGAAACATGCACAGGAAAAGAGGATTGGCCTGTTTTCACCCTGATCTTATGAAAGCAGTTCAAGCTTTTCAGTTCAGCTTCTTGTTCCCCATGTCTGCATGTCTGGGGAAGCTGCACAAGAGAAAATTGGAGCAGTGCCACTAAAGCTGCAGCAGCACAGAGGGAAAGTGACGCATGACAGTTTGATTAAAGGGAAAGACATCTCAAATTTCAGGATTTGTTTGGGATCATGAATGAGCATTTTTGTTCTCCGAGAAACCAGAAGGGGGAGACCCAAATATCTGCTCCCCTCCAGATGTGCAGCCTGGCTTTGGTCCACCCACAACAGTCTGAATGGGAGCAAAAAAGAGACACATTCATAGTAAGTTAGAATTCTCGATAATCCACATAAGTAATCATACACAAAATAATAAATTAGTGTAGCGGGATTCTTTCAAAAAAGATTGAAAAATAGACATTCACTTACAAAGTCTTCAGACAGTGGACTTTTGTGGAGGAAATAGATGTTAATATGTCACCTTACATTAAAACAGAAGAGGCCTCCAGCAGAACAATGGTTCAATGAATAGTAATTTATATACCTGAAATGACCATTTACCACCAAAACCAACCTTTTTATGTCATTTTGCCAGTTAGAATTGACATATAATTAAATGTATGAAAGTGTCTGTAATAATTTTGACAAAGCTTAAAAATACAATTAAGTGCAGTGACACAAGCAAAATACATTTCTTTTCAATTCAAGTCTTTGGAGATTGTTGCTTTTTGTATTAAATGAATCAGGGTGCACAAATCTATACTTGTATTACTTAAGAAGAGATATTGTTAATACACTTCAGCATCTACCAGAAAATCACACAAAAAATGATGTTAGACCAGCATTTAACATGTGGAAGCTCTAAGCAGACACACATACCGTACATACATATTGTCTGCTTGTGATTACAATTAATTTCCTCATTGTTTCTTGAGACTTACTTATCTTATCACCTCAGGATAACAAGAACAAAATTTTAATTACAAGATAACAACATAAATAAGTCAAGATCTCGAGAGAAACATACGGATATTACTTGTTATGTCAGAAACAAACTGAGTAAGTCAGGTGTATGGCTGCATGTCCACTAAGGACTCCTGCTTAACAGTATTCAGTCATTATTTATTTACATCACTTTTTAATTCCTTTTATTCTTCCAGAAAGCTCTCAAAGGTTCAGCTCCTGTGTACATTTCTGAGCTGCTGACTGAATACAACCTGACCTGACCACTCAGATCATCAGGTGGAGGTCTTTTAGCCATACCAGGAAGTAGATCAAAGTCCGGAGAGGGGGGCCTTTAGTAACTGGGGTCCTCCTCTATTGGAACAAACTTCCTGCTGACCTGAGGTCAACCACAACTGTCTCTACTTTTAAAGCAAAACCCAAAACCTATCTATTCTCCCAAGCACTATTCTCCTGCCACTGATGTGGTTATTGATGTTTGCTTTGTGGTGCGTACGTTTTTATTGATTTGATTTCTGTATCTTATTCATTAGTGTGGAAATACACATTGATCTTACCTGTAAAAGAAATGCTTTATAAATAAAATAACTATTGCTTTTATATTATATTACATTACTTTGTATATTTGTCAATATCCTTCCTCTACACTTCTATATCGGCAAATGTACTTGGCAGCTCATGTCAAATAAAATGCCTAAGAAGGCGTTTTGAATAAGAATTAGCAGCATATTTAAACCCTTGAAAAGGCATTACTGGATTTAAAGCCCTGAAAGTGTATAACAAAGGTGCCCTGTGTGACTCCCCGTCCTTCAGTCCCAGGGAGAAAGCACTGAGAGATTCACTACAATGTCAACGAGCCGAATTTGTAATTTGCAGCTCCAGCCGAGAATCACAATTCACACTCTCCTATAATCCAAATCCTGCTTTTCACTGTCAGGGTCTTAGAGCCTCTAGGTCAAGTCCTTGGCAGGTTTCCTGGGAAACCTTGTGGGAGTTTAAATTCAAAGTTAAAAATTGCATAACTTTTTTTTGGTGCCTATTTTTAAGGCTAGACGTCAGTGTCTCCTTGTCAGAGGTGGAAAGACTTTCAAACATCATTTTTGACCTTTAAGTTGGTGAATTGATGAAAAGGCTTTGGGCCAAGTAGCTGTGATTTTCTCCACACATGATTTCATGCAAAGGTCTACTAGCTTTATACTGAAGAATAAATCCTTAGAAAAATCCATACACATGATGCATTCAGTTTACTCTTAAATTATACAGTATACTTAAAAGCATATGGCTTGTATAAGGTGCAAGGCCACTGAAAAGGGCAACGCCTGCATATTAACTCCCATGTACATTAATAGCAAAGAGTAGGAGTACAGAGACAAGAAGTACATTAAACAAATGCATTAAATTCAGATTTATCAGTGTTAAAGGTTGCACTTGATAGCTTTCCATACTGTCTACTGTAACACCCAGAAACAGTTTGTTATACTCAAGTAAGATATATGCAGACATTTAAGATGGTGTATTTTGCCATGTCACCGTAGATGAGAACGTTTTATATAAATTGGATGCACCTTTAAAGCTCCTGTGAGTTTTTAGCTGCTTATGAAACAGACTCCAATTTATAGTGATGTCTCATATGTGACCTACAAAAACAAACATGACCATCACATACAACATGGATCATGTCGTTTATTTCTTGTAAGAGCATGAGTTTTTCTGTTAAAAAACCAAAGTGCTACTTCCACATGTAGGGGGCAAGATAAAGGGGGGGGGGGGGGTAAGATGCATCACTTCAAACATGCCAAAACCAACAGAAACCAAAGTGGAGCTTAAAGAACGAGTTCTAATATATATTTTTTAATGTTTGCTTTTATGAGACATTGAATACCTTTAGCTGGTTTAAGACTAGAAAGAATAATGTTACAAGTTAATCCATGAAGAAAATGTTTCCTTCAAGTTGTAAGATTTACACACGTTAACTGCTTGTGATACAAACACACACTCAGAGCTTCAAGAGAGACTCAATACAATCAGCCATTAACTTAACAAAAGAGAAACAGAGAAAGGAGACATTTCCATATGAGGAGGTTTTGAATTTTAAGACAAAAGAACGCCTCGTTTGAGTTACAGGGAGGTGATGTCAGCGAAGTACAGTATGTAATCGTTCTCCCTTACTCTGTGTTGAATTAGTCTTGCAGCCCCCCGCCCTCATTAGAAACTGTTTGAGGGGATTTTGTACAGAGTGTCAAGTCAAAATGTAACAGAGTGAGCCTCTCTTTTCCCCAGTCCTGCCAAAACTGTCTCTCCACAGGTGAATTTAAAGTGAGTGACTCAGCTCACCTGTCGTTTAAAGGAATAAATAGTCTTCTTAGAAATGTGTGATAATGGCTCTGAAGTGAAGAGGCTGCAGTTTTTTTGCAGACTGAGGAGTTATTTTGAGCTGAAAATTGAACACATTCATCCGTCCATGTAGTTATTTTCCTGTTTGGCATGGCGTTAGAAATACTCTTCTGATTCTGTATTAGAATATTTATGAAACTTCAGTGTCTGTCAGACGGAGATTTGAAAGGATAACTCTAAAATGGCTTTTCTAACATAACATAAACTACTCTGTCACAAAAGGTTTACATTTGTATCTGTTGAATTCCTACTAATGTGATGAACCTGTAATTTAAAGGAACAATATGACTTTTTGGGAAATGAATGGATTTGCTTGCTTTCACAGAACAATGCAGCTCTCATGTCTTTACTCTGAATATATACAGCAGATAGAGCCAGAAGCTGGTTAGCTTAGCCTGGCATAAAGATTGGAAACTACCAGATAACCTCGCTCTGTCTGAGGGTTAGGGTTTAGGTCTTTCTAGGACCTTCAGAGATAACCAATAAACTCATGATATCAAGTTTATTTTGCCAAATTATTACTTGGACTTAACCAGTACTTTATTATTTTATGCGAGAAGGATATCTCTTAGGGAGTTCATGTGGAAAATTAAAAAAAGTAAATGTTTTCATGCTCGGAAAATCTGACATACTCAACTCATAGAAACATGAAAGTGTATTTATATAGCACCTTTAAAAACAAATGTTTACAAAGTGCTGTATATATATTATATGTATGTATATTTTACTGTCTTGGATATGCACCTGTGTTATTACTCAAGATGTCAGTGGCATGGTGTTTGTATATGCATTCTTGATCAGCCGAGAGAAAACAGCTAATTGTTTTTTACTATAATGTCCAAACAACTAAACAACAAACAGCTAAAAATGTAAACTTTTCCTTTGATTATCAGAAAATGTTAAATTATAAAAAGTAATTTAAAAACAGCAATGACAAAAACTGAGTCTTTCCATCAGTTAATTTTGGCATCTATGTCACAATGGGGTCTCCATATGCGCAGTTGTTCTCAATACCCAGGTTGAACCAGTGTCCTTTTCCTCCTTTATACGCACTGGTGACTATTCTTGCCCAGCCATGCTCTCCCTGAAAACCAAAAAGATAAAACATTATTTATTCTGTGTGCAAAAAGTAATAAAAAAAACATGTTAGTAGTAACGGCTACTTAGTTCTTCCAAGGAACCCCTTCCCATGTAGTGCAGTGCGTGTATTTTGGCTACAGAGCTGATAGATGTCAGACTTGGAACAGGCTGTACAGAAGGGTGTGACACACAAAGACAGAAAGAGAGACCCACCCAAAACTCTCCCCAGGAGTTCCTGACGACCCAATACTCGGTCCCGTCCTCGGTCACACCCCACCCAGCCACAGACACGATGTGATTTGGCAGAGACAGCGGGTGAAACTCTCTGAAGATCCCTCCAGAGTATTTCTCAAGTCCATCTGTGGCCATGAGAGCACAACTGAAAGACAGAGGGAAGAGTGATAAAATGTGTCAAGATTTAGACTTTCTTTAAGCTGGGAAGTCATGGCCATCGTGTAATTGTTTACACTTGAACATCTCATCCAGTGTGTGAGCTTTGAGCCAAGTTTCTCATGTGGTTTCTGCTCTGAATCACAACAACATGATTTGCTCTATTGGATCCATAAATAAATCAACAGTTTACAGATAACTATATTTCCTGTCCAAAAATGTGTATTCTTTGTTGTTTTCTGGATTTGTTCACTACAGCGTTTTCTTGCATCTCAATGTTATTTACACCAGGTTAAGGGACAAGAGTTTAAGATTCATGAACCTGAATTTAATATATTATCATTTATGTTTTAATCAGCGATCGATCAACTGAAGGTTAAATTTGGTGTATTTTTCTCTTTGGGAAGGTAATCTTTAATATTCTTAAAATAGCATGTTGAACCATCTTATTTCCACAGGAGCTCAAAATGGACAAATCAAAATATCAGGCCCTTTGTGTTTTTAGGAAGTTTAAAATGCCCACAATAAAATATGTTTATGCTCTGAAAGGAGAGGTTAAAAGGAGCAGTTAAAGGTCCTCTGTAACCTCACTGTTATGCACAAAGCAATGGAACCCTGACTGCCCCCCTGTAAATTGTCCATCTGACTTGGGGCGGGGTGAGCTGACGTGTGAACACATCTGGTAAAAGTCAGGAAAATGTCCAGCTGGCAAGCGGGTGTGGCTGATGACATGATGGTCGCACACGTAATAAAGCAGCTTTATACTCTTTTCTGTTCACCAGTGTGTCCTCTGCTGCTCTCTGGTTGATACTGTGGATCTAATAACAAGCAAGCACTCGTATAAAGGCCAAAACTGTCATCATAGCATCAGACTCTACTTCACCTGCCATCTTGAATATCATTATGACCGCAGCATCTTTTTTACCACTTCATCTCTTGCCTCCCAAATGGACAAGTGTGAAACACAACTTTTCAGAGGCAGCCGGTCCTGAAATGTTCTCAAAAGACCACTGAGTTTAATTTGTATTTTTTAAAAGTTTGATCTGCAAGTATTAGAAAAGCAAGTGGAAGACTGGAACAGATCTTGTGAAGACTTTATTGAATTCATTAAACGATAAAATACTCTCAAAGCCAGAACTTTTGTAAAAGAATAACCCATAATGTAGAAATGTAGACCAGTAAGATATGAGGTTTTTATTCTCAGCCTTTACATTTAAATAATGTGCTGAGTTTTAAGACTTTTTTGACTGAATGAAGTGATTTCAAGTTTCTCAAAGGTTTTAAAATGATTAAATATGTATGTATACTAATCAAGACTTCACTGTGATGAAGAGCTGCTGGATGAAAAAGTCTGAATCTTTCACTTCACATGACGGGTGTAGGGGGGATGGATGATTAGAAATGACTGTGGAGGATGACTTACTCTACCTGATTGGCCCGTTGGTGTAAAGCTCAGCCTTCATCTTGTCTCTTCCAGAAACGTCTCCGTAGTCGCCCACTTTCCACACGGTGTAGTTCTGAACGATAGCACATGACTTAAAGAAGGAGCACGTGCCACACTGGTTAAACTGCTCACACTCTGAAACAAACAGAGAGGACTGTTTGTGAGGATAAACAGATGACTGAAACTCATCATTTACTGTAATACAGTTACATTCAGAGTCTTAGTATGACCTCACTGTGCACTGTAATACACATTAAGCTGCTGTGATGCTGGTGTGTGGTTAGTTTGCTAAATGATCCCATTGACACACAAGGTAGTGCTATATCACTATAACTGGGATCAATTTATATTGACAGTCTATGAAAAGGATCGACTGCATGACAGATCCCCAACATTTAGAGCTCCCCCTACTGACAGGCTGCAATATGGGTCATAAGCTCCGCCTCCTCCATGTAAAGAGATGGGATATGGATCAAACTAGAAAATATTTAAGCTTAATTTAAATGAGTTTTTTGATGCGATAAAAGTGAGCAATGATTGACAGCTCGTTTGACAATTTCATCTTCAGCTGGGCTGTGTGCACCGGATTAGCAGACAAAAGGAAGAATGGCGAGAGGAAACATAACTAACAGCTAGACTAGAATCATTAAACTTTCTATAATCTTGAGTGTCTGCATCAAACAGACATTGTAATCTTGGCCATTGTATTAGTAAGTTAAATGTGTGTTACGGTTAGAGTCAGAAAGCACATCAAAACCACCGTAGAGTCTACTCTGCAACTCTGAGACTAACTAATGTCAACAGGGCAACTTGTCAGCACCTTTTTGGCTTCAATTTTGTACAGGGTCAGGAGGTGGAGACGCGTCATCCATCTTTATACACAGTCAATGGTCGAAGTCTAACCCAAACCATCAAATCCGACCACATAGGTCAAATTAAACACTCAAAAGATATTCATAATAATTTCTAATAAAAGAACTTTTACTTTGGTTTTTAGCTTGGTAGTTGTTGCAGGTTTCATCAGGAATGCCTTTCTGGTGTGCGTAGGCGTAGACTCCCAGGTGATCTCCTCCGTAACAAGAGCCCGCCTTCCCACAGTCTATGACGTTCTGGACTGACAGGTAAGCAGAAGGCCACACTCCTCCACGCTTGATATTGATACGATCTTCAGAAAAGAACAGCAAAAATATCTAATTAGGATGCTGAAATGGTAAACTATCCTCAGGGATCTCAGATTTTTGCAGGCTCACTATGCGCTGTTAACACCTCAGATAACACTACACGCTTTATCTGCAAGATGTAATGTTGGAAGAAACTAGGTCAAATATTTACTTAGAATACAAATAATAACAGGTGTATTTTATATTACTAGTGTAACACCTATGTTAAAGAACATGTATAACACCTATCCCTCTGTTTCTATCCTGTTTGCTCCCTCTCTCCATCTGTTTAATGGTTACCAGCTATTGCACTGGTGGCTCCCATGGCCCAGCAGGACCCGCAGTACTGGGGGATGTGTTGGTTCCGTGTGACGCTCACATAGTTCTTCCCCTGGATGTTCCTCCAGTCCCAGGACGGAGGAAGGTCCGACACCTTCACATACTCATGTGGGCGGGGTTGTGTTCTGAAATAATAAAGGTATAAACCTACATCATTGTTACGTGCTGTTGTGTGTGTGTGTGTGTGTGTGTGTGTGTGTGTGCATGTTTTCTTCCACTCTCTCCTGTGTTCCCTCCCAGTGTTGCCTCACTATCAAGCACACCTGTGGCCACTCTGCAATCAATGGGCAGAGTATAAAGGAGGCAGGAGGGAACTGACAGCCAGGGTTCAGTGGACCATCCAGATGTGTACTACTCTGAGAAACCTTGGCATATTTGTACGCCATCTGTGGAAGGAGAGTGTTTTCCTAGGGGGATATACTTTGTGCTAATGGTTTATTTATGAGTGTTTTGGGATAAAGTATATTGTTCAGTTTTGTGATTATATAATTAAATGGTTGTTAAATTTGTTTAGAGTAAGTTCCCTCTTCTTTTCCCTGGGTTGTATTATGATTGTTACTCCCCTCACACCCTAGCCATGTTGGGGAACTTAACAATCATAGACAAAATAATAACAATGTGTGGGCATTGTGAACAGGCAGGAAGGACACATATTCATCTTATACATGATATCATTGGAAAAAAAAAAACACATTTCCCTTCAGCTATTTCTATAAGATTTTTTAAAAATTTGCATTGATGTCACTGTGACATTAGAATTAATTGAAAGCTTAAAAAAAAAAAAAAAAAAAAAAAAAGCAATAATACTTCAGTAAACTTAGTGCCAATACTGGTTAGCAATCAGGAGTAATATTATTGATTTTTGACTATAATATTAGGTATTTAAAAAAAAAAAAAAATCCCAAATTGTATTCCCCAATTTTAACAGTAATAATAAAAAGGTATGACGTGCTGCTGTCTCTACTTGTCATTGTGTTTTAACACTATTCATTACATTACACATATCATACCTACACTTGATCATATGATCTATGTTAACTGAACAAGGACTGTATATGTTTATATCCGTCATGAGACAAATCAAGGCTTAGTTAGTAGCTTCAGCTTGCTTAAACAACATTTGATTTTATCGGTGCAAAATAACAATAACTCATGACATAAACATAAACATAAACATAAACATAAACTATGGGATATTAAAAAATGAATATGAAAAACAGCCCAACATGGCTAACGTTAGTTACTTCCTCAAATGTAATACCCTTGTTATGAGCTTACGGTAACGTGAAGTCGCCAAACAGAGGAGTCAAAGTTAATTTACTGGTAAACAACAACAACAACAACAACAACAACAACCTAAAACAATCAACTGCGCTACTAACAGTTTAAATTCAACACTTTCCGGTCATTTACCTGACAGAATTTGGCCTGCCGTCTCTGATTAGCTTGTAACACGGCTCGGATAAAAGCTTTGAAGCGCTAATTTGCAATGAAAATGACAATAAACAAATAAGCAGCGGTGTGTTTGTATTTAAAGACGCCATCTTGGCTCCGCTCTCTGATATGTGTGACCCACGCGGAGAGCGCCTCCTTCCGGCGCCTGCTACCATGACAACCATGACAACTTCCACTGAAGCTGTTACACTAAAGGGATGTAAAATGTAATATTAATCTTTAAGAAGTCATGAAGATGCTTTAATGACAATTTGTTTAAGTATACATGAAGCCTGTAAATAAATGTCTGGCGTTTTTTCTCTCTCTCTCTCTTTTTTTTAAATGTTATTGTACTAAAAACAGAAAATGGAGATTAATGTTTTATTTTTTACAGATGTATTTTGCAAGACTGTCAGATTCACCAAATGTAAGACTCAATAAATTATTTTCAGTATCCATAATTCTAATGCTTTAGGCCTATTAATAATAATTATGCATAGGTTAGAATATAAATATAAGTAACCTAAAAAAATGTTTTTACTATAGGTCTATAGATTCATATTTATTGTTTTTCATCCTCTTCACTTCTCTTACTTATATATATATATTTTCTTTTATAAAGCATTTTTCATTTTACATAAACTAGATTAGGTATAGGCTATAGCCTACATATAGGCCTATATTACAGCTTTTCACCAATTAACATAGGCTAACTGACTTGAATTTCTTCTTTTCACTCCAAACATTACATTTAAAACCACTACATTGCTAAATGTAACAATACATTCCTTAACTACAAAATGTGAGTTGAAGTTAATAGACGGTTATAGGCACATAATCAAATAGAGCAGAGAGAAAAAGAAGATATCCCCGCACACTTACTCCAATGCCACAAAAAGTTTGTATTTAATCACAATGTTTTGAACAGTGGTCTTCTTCAGGTGAAACAATAAGGGCCCCCATTTCAACAACTATCCACTGAAGAAGACCTGTGGATAAAACATTGTTATTAAATAAAAAGGTTTTGTGATATTTGAGAAAGTAATCAGGCATATCTTCCTTCCTCTTAAGTTAAATTGAACCTTTTCTAATATTTAATGTTACACTTCTGTAACTAGCTGGCACTTACTATCTCTGATTCATATCTCCTAAGTTAAAAAAGCTGCACAGGTTTTGCAGGGTCAGCTGGAAACTTTTACACAGTTAAAATCAAATTACTTTAATGCAGGACCTACTAATGATCATTCTATGTTGTGGAAAATGTGCAGGATTATGACTTAACAAGATTATAACATCACAGGATGTGGCTCAACTTCAATGTAGGTCTGTGTTTGTGAAGGGGAAGCACTACTGTTGGTGCTTTTAATGACTCAAACTGCGATCAGATTAGACATACATTATGCACCAAATGACCCCTTTAGAGGAACATTACATCAATCAGTAAGAATGTAACCAACCGTTCTTTAAACCTGCTACATTGTTTGTTGGTTTTTTTTAATTCTTGATTCCGTATATTGTAAGGCACTGACGCCAAATTCTTTGTATGTGTCAACAGACTTACTTACTGATTTTGCTAAAACAACAACAACATATTGTGGGAGTTAAAGGACATTTAATTGTGGGACACAGTGCATGTTGCTTTCTATGAGGTACCATAAACATGTAAACAGTACTCCACCACAGAGCAAACACTGAATAATGACGGAAGATCAGGAAATGATGATGTATGTGACAGTGAGGCAGGGAGGTCGAGTGTTCCCAGAAGGAGCCACTAACCTTGAATAACTCATTAGTCTGCATTTAGAGCGTCTAAAATCTTACACAAACAATCCTGACCCTGGCCCTCGCACGGCAAGCAAGATTAAAAACAGAGTAAACAGCTGAACGTCTTTAGCCTTAGAACCTAATCTTGCTAAATAAAACAAAAAATGTGGAATTATTATGGAAGAACATTCACAGACCGAGCACTACTGGGTGGATAAAACAGATCTTATCAAGCCTTACATTAGAAAAAAAAACGTACCTATCAAAGATGTTTGAAAACATACAGAGGCCTTTCATTAATTTAGGATGATCAGATTTCTGTGGTCAGTATTTACTATGTATTATAATCATATATTCAATTTTGTAGAGATGGGGTGCCGGCAGCCTAGTGGTTAGTGTGCGCCTCATATACAGAGGCTGTGGTCCTCCAAGTGGGCGGTCAGGGTTCAAATCCGACCTGTGGCTACTTTCCCCCATGTCATTCCCCCACTCTCTCTCTCCCTGATCTCTGACTCTATCCACTGTCCTATCTATAAATAAGGGAATAAACAACCCCAAAATGATTTTTTTTTTTTTTTTAAAGATTACCATATTCTTAATACAGGAGAAGTATAAGATTGTTTATTTTGTGTATTTATGCTTTGTTTTTGTAATTTTTTTCTTCTGTGTTGTCGGCCAATGCAGCATTTTTTTTTGTCTTGATAATTATTAAATGTAAAAAGCTGTATCTCATTGTGTTAAGATTGAACCAAAGCAAACTCCCGTCATCAGGCAAAGAGTTAAAAAGTTTGCCTAATTAAGATCTAGTACCCAAATGTTGCAGTGAGTCAAATATTTTTTGCAAGTTAGACAGTGTGCGGGAGTTTGCTTTTAATATTGAGGAAGAGTAGGAGTGATTTTCTAGTTTAATCTAACTAAAAAAAATTGGAAGAAAAATCTATACTTCATCCCAGACAATGCCCCTCCTCATCAAATCATTTTGTCTGTGTTTTCTCTGAGCGCAGACGCCGCCTACTCCTCTTCAGAAGTGCATTGTGTAATGAAACACAGAGGCTCTTGTCTGCTGCAGGACCAGAGGAATGAAGTCCCGATGACCGTTGACCTCTTAGGTCATCGTTGCTGAAAAGATTTTTGCTTTGAGACTTCTTCAGAGACACAAGAGCCACTGCTCTTCAATATAAGTGCTGCAAAGCCTTTGGGGATGTGATGTAACAACCAAGTCAAAGGTAATACAAGACATCTGTCCACATATCAGCATCCTGGATATACACATTAACATGGGCGTCTTCCTTCCTGCCTACGTTGATGGGGTATGAGCTAATGTTGATGCATAAACATACATTCAATCATTAATGAAGGAACACTATTATCCTTCTTCAATTTGCATTATAAATTAGCTTCTCAAGCTCTTCTCAAACATCCAAGCAGATAGCAAATAACTATGCAGTTAATGCAGTTAAATAATTGCAGCTTATTCCATTTGTCTTGCCTTTCTATATCTACAACTAATGTAGGGATTGCTCAGGGCTTGGAATGAGTATGTCTTCAATTGTGAAGCTTGATTTTTTTTTTTCAAGATAGCAGCCTGGCTCTTCAGATGGCAATGGTGTTCTGTTCAAATTAAAAATTTGATATCTTGTTCCTCCAAGATGAATAAAATCTTTGACCTTTGAACAGGCAACGATGGCTCCTACAGGATGAATCACACAGACTTTGGTGATCCCCTGACCTTTCTTTTAGTGCCATTAGCAGGTTAAAGATTTCTCTTATCTGAAGAAAAGACTGAAGACTGCCACATAATTTCACACAGACATTCATTGTCAACAGAATCTTCAGATTTTTCCCTCTTCCGCTCACATTAGGTTCACCTTGAGTGAAATATCGTAACATCTCTTGAGTGTATTGGCTTAAAATGATTTAATACTCACACTCTTTTGCCTCTAAGGATTTATTTGATTTATTCATTTGAAGGATTTTTAAATGGAGCACCACAATCAGGTCAAACCTTCGGCCTCTGGTAAATATTTGACATATCTCTTATTTGCAAAAGCATGATGGCATTGTACTTAGGGCACATAAGCGTGTTGGTGTGAGCATGTAGCTGAAGTGCAGCCGATTTCAATTAAATGAAACCAATGCAGCGATTATGATATCTAGAGATAATCATAACAGTGTAAGGGAGGTGTCAAAGAGGGGTTTATTTTTTGACTTACACAACCATGCTTCTTGGTTTTTTGCTCTTCACTGGGCTAGCATTAGTAAGCATATTCACAACATTAGCCACTGGAGCTGCTTTTTTGCTACAATTGACTCGTAATTATTGGCTGAATTCTTTGGAAGCCATGAACAATTATTGGTTATTGTCGAATGTATTGAGATGAGGTTTATTTATGAACGATGCAAAAAGAATGAGGACGTTTCCCTCAGTGTGGCTGTCTTCTTACATTGTCCAGTTGTGTAGCTATAGAGTTTGTCTTACAATTTATTCAGAATATCCTCCAATTAGTGGTTTAAAGGCTTTCATAAGACTACAGAGTTGTACTGTTTATCCGTCTTAATACTAAAAGAGACAATCTGCCCACAGCCACCACAGAAAGACAGTAAAAAGCCCACTTAAGCAGAGGCACCTTCAGAGTGCATGGAAAGTGCATCCATGTAAATATTGAACGCACACACAGTTTAGATTTCACTCAAGGATCAATATTGAAGCAATCTGGACGTTAATCTCATTTGCACTTCGGCTTTCTTCTTGGCAAAAGCTGCTGCAGACCGGCTGTGTGGGATCTCTGGCGGGATTACAACAAATTCAGCATTTAGAGAATTTTTTCAAGAGACTCACATGAATATTTCAGGCCAGCAGGGTCAGATGTTAGGCAGATAATCAATACTTCATTTAACTCCGTCATTTTCTACTCTTGAAGGGTTTTTTCTTTAAACAGAGAAAAGGAGCTTTTAGGAGGAAGAAAAATCAATGCTGTTGAGGAGTTTGGGATTTTATTGAAAGCTTTAGCAAAAAGGATTAAGTTGAGCTCCAGTTGAGATTGAGTTCAGTTTTGTTGCCTGTGGTTTCTAAGGTCAAGTATGAACTCTTAATGTTAAAAATCATCCCATCAATGTTTGGTTAATGAAATAAAAGAAAATGCTTCTTTCCATTACATCAAACATCCTTTTTCTAGATCAGTTCATTGAAATGCTGAGATTATTCTGGATACACTCACTGCCACAGCTTTTACTAAAAGCTATTAAAACATATTTACCGTTTTCCCCACAATGGGCATAGGAACAAGTGAAACTATAGGAACCATTGTAAAGCACCATTCATTCATGCTGATGCTGTAGTTTTTCTGACATAAA